TGGCGTTATCACAGTCCAGGACATTTCAGTTGGGAACAACAGAACAAATGACGCTGCTGAAGATGTGCCACCTGAAGAAGCCACCGTCGAAGAAGAAACTCTACTCAGTTTGAGAAGGGAAACAGTGAAGCTCTTGATGAAGTTACTACCACTGATGTGACTATTATCGACGATAGAACCTTTCCTGATGAAGCAGATGAACCCCATATGAAGCAGAAACCAACGAGACGGAGACCAGTACGGAAGAAGATACGTCCCATAAAATTAAGAGACTTTGTTGAATTGTAATTTTGTGATTGTAATTCTGTACATTTAATTAAGTTATTGTTATTGGTTTATTGTAAGTGGCTATTGTTCGGGACGAACAATACTAAGGAGGGGGCAGTGTTGCGTCAGCGAGGTCACTTGACTAGTATCACGCCACTCCTTCTCTTGAACCTTCGGGAATTGTCGGGAGATTACTAGATATAGGGTAGCCAGGTATATATAAGATGGTGACAACGTGACGGGACAATGTGTGTAGGTAGTGAGTAATTGATCTGCAGTCAGAAAGTATTGTTGAAGTTAACTTTCGTTGTTATAGCGTTTGTTTTAGCTCGATTGTTGAAATTAAGTGTATCGTAAAGTTATATTCAGAAAGAATAAACCAGTTTTATTTAAGAAAGGACTTGTGTCGCTAAAGTTTCGTCGGAACGAATTTATGGAAAATCAATTAACGAACGGAGACGTAACAATACTTTTCATTAACAAATCCAGTTAGTCTAGTTTGATTTGTGTTGTTGTTTATCAGTGATTCCGATGGTCTGAATAGATTTCTACTATTTCTTGGCTCTTCTGTTCACTTGTATAAATACTATCAATCTTTTGTAATAAATAATCTAGATATTTTAAAACTAAACCCTGTACTCGACTTCTCTTGGTATTTTTTCTTACTCTTGGTTATGTTTGTTGTCACGAGTGGCGCTTTCTCTTTCTCGCTTGTGTGATCGTTTTGGGTTTAGTTCGGTAAGGTCAAGAAGTTGAAACAAGAAGTTAAATTTTTATCTCTTCTCTTGGATTTAAATACTGTAAGTTCAATTTCAAGTTTATTTTTTGTACATATATGTAAAATAATGATTAATACCTCGTAAACTGAGGTATATTTTAATATCGTTTAAAATGTTTTAGTTTTGTAGATTATTCTTATAATTTATAAATATAACTACTACTAGTATTACTAGTAGCAGTATTTTAACTAATAGTAATATTTGTAATGATAGTACTATTACTAGTACTTTGTAACGTTTTTCTGCATTATGAAGTTCACAAATTTTAGGCTTCTGACTATTATTAATACTAATATTGATAACTAGTATTATATTTGTATGTAATAATATCAATATAGCGATTCTCTAAGTTCATGTATTTATACTATTACTAGTAATAGTATTAAGCAAATAATACTACTCAAACTGTGAAAGTGCAAAGGTGGATTTTGAGTTTTTTTCACTTAGGTTGAAGGTGGGGCATTATAAAGGTTACTATTACCACTAGTAGTAGTTTATATATCTTGAAAAACAAAATATAAGGCTTTTTCATCTAGAAAGGCAGCAGTAATTTTTTCATGGCCTTGGTATTACATATTCCTCCTCACTTCAAAAATATACACTTCTCTACAGTAAACTGGAATATTTTTCGACCTCCCGAAGGTTTTTTTTTTTTTTTTTTTTTTTTTAAAAAAGAAAAAAAAAAAAAACCCCCCCTTTTAAATCAAAAAAAAAAAATTTTTTTTTTTT